ACATATATATGTTAGCGTCCAATCTCGGATTCAGGCCAATCTCAGATTCGCCTAGGCCAATGTCGGCTGTGGGTGTGAATGAGGGTGTGGGTGGGGTGTGGGTGGCTGTAGGTGTGTGGGGGTGGGGGTAAATCTTCTCAGCACACCCACACCATTTTTGTTATTTATTTATTATTGAAATGTCTCTCTATCCCTGTGCCATTGTGCTTCTTAAGAGTTCGAATTCCTATCTATGAATATTGTTCTTTGTTTAATAAACCACATTTATTTCTCATAATGAAAAGGTGAAGCAAGTGGAGAGGCCAGGGAGTTTTGATAGCAAAATATTCCTTGCCGAACCACCCTCGAATAAGAGTGAATAGAAGTTTGTATTTCAGTACACACTTTACATCTGTGACTATATGTCTAACATATTGTGTACTGTGCTGTGGCAGGAAGACCATTCAGAACATAGGTCAACTGGAACTAAAGTGCTGCACTAATAAAAGAAGCACATTTCGGTTCCAAACATCCCTTCTTTTCTATTTCGAACTCCCGTGTAAATTTTTACGAACATCCGTTTGTTATTGTTCCGAACATCCCTATATTTTCATTACGAACATCCAGTAGTTTTTTTTTACAAACATCCGTTAAAATTATCCAGTTCTTCAACAGAAATGTGCGTGTCGTTGCCGTTCCGAACACCCGTTAAAAAAATTTACGAACATCCGATATTTTATCATAAAAATGAGGATTTTTTGAAGAAAACGGATGTTCGGAACGGACTTCGACATCGGATGTTCGGAATGAAAAGTAGCGACGAAACGTCAAACTCCCTTTTAATCGCTTCTATGTATTTTTGCCATTTGTGCTCCAAAAACATTCTAGTATAACGTTCGTACCAAAGCAAATCATAGTATCATGTGTGAATGAGTAAGCTGTTTATTCAAATATTTGTCTTTTCTTACAAAATAAATATCATAGACACAATAAAAAAAAGCAATAATTAAAATGTGTCTACGACAAATACATCCGAGTCACAAGATGACATAATTCCGATAATCAAATTCGTAGTGAACATTTTGTTGTTCTATATTTCATTTCATTTATTCACGTGTTCTTAGTTGTTTAGTATTGATTTTGTGTTGTTATCTAAGTCTTATGTCTGTTAATGTCTTCTTTATTTTATTGAGAAGTTGTGGTACATCAGTAACAGATGATGAGTAGATGTCGAGACGTACGATATGAATAAGTGAACGCAAAATGCAGCAACATCAGTTGAATATGAGACATGAAGCATAGTCTGGAAGTCATTTTCAATCTCCAAATCAACGATATGAGGCCCCTCGTGAAGAAAAAGATATTTGAGATCAACATCAAAGATCAGCAGCCAATGCAAACATGACAAACTGTGTAAAAATATTCTATGTATTCGTGAGACGAATTTCTACTTCACTCGGAACGAATGTTACGTGTCATAATGAACACTGAGAAACGTAGTAGTAACTTGTGACAAATATAATTCGATATGAGTTTACCGATGTCAAAGCGGATGTTTTAAATACTAATGATTAATTATTAACCGATGAACATGATAAAATGATGCTGGCTCTGATGCGGTTAATTCTAATACCAGGATTCTAATCATTACATGAAATAGACAGACGATGAGAGAAGAGCAAATCGAATAGAACGTTGAAGAATCACTGTTCAACTTTTGATCGCATGTAACAAACTGCTTTTGTCTTCGAACTAAAAGTTCGTGCGAAATGAGTCAAGATTAGGTGGTTGTTCTTCGAAGGTATCATCAGAGAATATTGTAACATATGAGTTCAACTCGACTGAATAAACATTGGGGTCATGATCGATGCGCGAATGCATTTGTAATTTCATCAAACAAAGCTTGCTAGTCGAAACGAGGCGTGTACATCTATCATTCGGACAACATTGACTTGTTTCTTTTATAATTCTTTGATGGGTTTTTAGGTCGAATAGAATAGAGAACGTAGATATTGAATTTCATGTAATCATCTGAAATAGGTAAATATTCAATATGATCACGTCTTTCTATATTTCTGTCACTACCAATTAGAGAAATAAAGAAAACGAACAAATTGCGCTGGTGTAGGTATGAGTGAGCGCGAATGTTGGCGCTGGAGGGAGAGCACCCACACCAGACATGGCAATTACTGTTGTTGCCGAAGAAACTCGAACACAGACGTTGACATAAACAGCATATTGCATCTAATGTAGGTATGGAGGCAACACGAATGTCAACAGCTACATTAACGTCTACAGCCACAGGAATATGCAGATATTTAATGAAACGAACTAGCGAAGAAACTGAGTAACGAAACAATGACGTAAACTAGTCAAAAAGACGAACGAAATGAAGGCTACTATGATCTTGTGTATGATGAGCCATGGTGGTTTCGCTGCGATTTGTGTTAAACATGTTATCTGATGGTGAAACATGATCTTATTAGGTTGTTTTACCTAAACTAATTTCTTGATTATCAGCAATATATTTGGCAAGGAAAAAACGTTTTTCGAATGTTATACGCTTCAATAATAATGAAATTTACTCGTAATTTTATTGCCTTTTAACATTATCAGCATGTTAACGATATGCACGACGATACAAAATCGATCTCATAATGTTTTCATTGTTTTTTTTTATTCTCAGCAGAATGAGAAAGAAGTCATTTTGAAAGAATGAAAGAAAATCAAACTATCAATGAGACAAAGTCTTCAACACAACGGCATTCAAGTCATCATGTAGCTGAAAAGAAAACGAAAAGTTTGGCCGTATAACAGAACAAAAAAAAACACGTGGTTCGACCTTTTCTCCTACGTTTGTTGCTCGCAACAATATTTTCAATTGAAGCTACGTAAAAATCGTCGCTCAGAGTCAACAAAAAAAATCACAATTGACGTCGCTGGAAAATCTAGAAAGAAAACAAAAGGCATCGACTATATGAGAAGAAAAAGTGATCTCTTTCTAAACGATAAACAACTATTCACCATTCTTGATTAACGATCACCTAACGAATCGCATTCGATATGGGTGGACAAAAATCGAAACAACAAAGCTCCACATCAACCATGGACGCTGCTGCGATTACAGCAGTGGCCTTAAATACTACTCAACCAAAACAGCGTCGTATTCAAAATTATTTGCTCATCTGGGTCGATTGCAATATTGATCAAAAAAGTCAAGATTGTCAAAATACGCTCGCACACTTGCATAGCGTCGTCAACGAGGTTAATCTTTGCACGACACCGACGCAATGTATTGAAATCCTTAATGATATGGATGATGAGAAAGCTTTTGTCATCTCCTCTGGTGCATTGGGACAGCATCTGGTGAGTGATATTCACGGAATGACACACGTGGATGCTATTTACATCTTTTGTCGAAACAAAGCACGACACGAACAATGGGCAAAAGAATGGCCAAAAATCGAAGGTGTGTTCACTGAAATTACATCTATCTGTGAGTCATTAAAACAGGTCGCCCATGACTGCGACCACGATGCGATTCCAATGAGTTTCGTTCCGAAGCGGATCATGGCAGATGAAGCAGCAACAGCAGTATCGGATCAACAACATCTCGACCAACTAGAACCATCATTTATGTATTCAGTATTATTCAAAGAAATTGTATTGGAAATCAGTGAAGATGATACCAAGGCGGTAAAAGATCTTTCTGTCTACTGTCGTAAAAAAGGTATTCTCGAGGCTGAAATAGAAGATTTCCAGCGTAAATATCACCAGAGATCGCCAATCTGGTGGTATACTCGTGAAATTTTCCTATACGGCATGCTCAACAGAGCTTTACGTTCACTTGATATGGAAGTTATGGCAAAAGTGGGCTTCTTCATCCGAAATCTTCACCGACAACTGGATCAACTACATAAAAAACAATCGAGCACATATAAGACACAATTTATCGTTTATCGTGGCCAGGGACTCACCAAAGAGGATTTTGAACATCTAATCGATACAAAAGGTGGACTCCTTTCGTTCAATAATTTTTTGTCAACTAGTACAAAAAAGCAAGTAGCTATGAAATTTGTTGAACGTGTACTACACAAATATGAAGATCATGTGGGTGTTCTCTTTGTTATGACAATCGATCCAAAAAGAGTATTGGCTTCCACTACTCCGTTCGCCCTTATCGATGAGTACAGTGCTATTCCACAAGAACAAGAAATTCTCTTCTCAATGCACACTGTTTTTCGCGTTACAGAAACGAAACAAATGTTCAAAAATAATCGTCTATGGGAAGTAGAATTGACTCTCACCAACGATAAAGACCCACAACTAGCTGCTCTCATTCACCGCATGCGAGAGGAAACTCAAGGATCTACTGGATGGTATCGAATGGGTCACTTGATGCTTATAGTGGGCCACTTTAATCAAGCTGAAGAACTCTATAATGAATTATTGAAGAACTCCTACACCAACACTGATAAAGCGTATATTTATAACCAACTTGGATGGGTGAAAGACGACCAAGGACTGTACAAAGAAGCAGCTTCATTTTACGAAAAATCTCTCGAAATCAACCGAGAAAGTCTTTCACAAGATCATTCTTCATTGGCTTCTACTTACAGTAACATTGGTCAAGTGTATAACAAAATGAGTCACTATTCAAAAGCACTTGAATTTTACAAAAAAGCACTAGAAATCTATGGAAAATCTCAGCATCCAGATTATCCCGCGCTGGCTACTTCCTGCAGCAGCATTGGTCAAGTGTACAAAAATATGGGTGACTACGCGAAAGCACTTCACTTTCACAGAAAAGCACATCAAATCTTCGAAAAATTTCTTCCCCCTAACCATCCGAATTTAGCTACTTCCTACAGCAACATCGGTCAAGTGTATAGCCACATGGACGACTATTCAAAAGCACTTGAATTTTACGAAAAAGATTTGGAAATCACGAAAAAAGCTCTTCCTTCAAATCATCCCGATTTCGCGACTTCCTGTAGCAACATCGGTCAAGTGTACAAAAACATGGGTAACTACTCGAAAGCGCTTGAATTTTACGAAGAAGCACACAAAATCTTCGAAAAGGTTCTTCCTCCTAACCATCCGAACTTAGCTACTTCTTACAGTAACATCGGTCAAGTCTATAACGATATGGGCGACTATTCGAAAGCACTTGAATTTTACGAAGAAGCTCATAAAATCTTCGAAAAAGCTCTTACGCCAAATCATCCAAGTTTGGTTACGTCCCTCAGCAACATCGGTTCCGTGTATTGCAATATCGGTGACCACTCGAAAGGAGTTGAATTTTTAGAAAAAGCACTTGCTATTCTACAAAAAACACTTCCACCGACGCATCCACTAATTAAACGAACGATAGATAATATTAAATGTGTAACAAAGGAAGCTATTGGTTTGTTTTCCGTTTGCTCAACAAATTCTTTCTGAATCCATCTCACTCTTTCGATTTCTCAGTTCTTTATTCTATGCACAATCAGAAAAATTCCATGACTATGTGAAGGGAAGACGTAGATATGAATGCACCAGAGTGATTCAAGCATGAATACATTTATGACGTAGACAGCGGCGTTCGATACCATACGAACCAAGTAGACATCCCCAAGTATTACACCATTTTAGCCATAACAGCACGTGAAATCTCTATCGTCAGACAACGAAGTCACTTGACAAGCTGTAAAATAAGACCATCATTCTCCTGAAGGAAATAAAGCTAAAAAAATAAGGTGAATATATCGACAAATTTTCTAGTTTTAGGTAACAGCTAGTATAGCACTTTTCTATTTCTATAATACTTCGCAATTGAAAAGAAAAAAAATTTAAACAACCTACCTATTCTTCTTGTTTGAACATATATAATAATACATTTTGAATAAACTGCATCATGTGAATTATTATTTCATGTTAAAATCGTTCCATTATGTTATTCAAATAATCCGTAAATGAACAAGATATAAACTAATTTGAAATCAACACGTCACATAGATAACCTAATATATAGTGTAAACTAACTATTTAATTATATTTCGACGGAAGAGACATTACCAAGTCAGCTATTCGACCTCGAAAAAAATATGAAATTAAATATGAATATAATGGAATTCAACAATAAGGCATTTTTGTACTTCTAGTAATAAACGATGTTCGATGCATCATTTTAATATAAATAGGTCTGATATATTCGGATGAGACTTGTTCTTCCAGTTTATTATCTAGTCATACAATCAGCAACCGTCAAAACCAGCTTAGGTTCACATCTTGCACATTAAAAACTAGTCTCATGAAAATAATACTCTTGATTGGTTGTCCATTATGTTTATTAAAATGATATATTTGTTGAATGTATCGATTTGTACTGAATGATTCTTTGATGAATTTTTAGGTCAAATAAAATAGAGTAAATAGATATTAAATTTCATGTAATCATCTAAAATAGGTAGATATTGAATATAATCATGTGTTTCAATATTTCTGTCACTAACAATTAGAAAAATAAAGAAAACAAACCAACCAAGTCAATATGCTATTGTTCATATTTGAACTGTAAAACTTACACATTGATTTCAATATTGACATTAAACTCTCCAGTAACTCAGTGGACAAAGGCGATGTAATTAGTTTGTGTCATTATTCATTCGAGCATGAATAGAAAGTCTTCAATTATATTATCATTCTTCGTCGGCTTTGATGTTGACTAACTATAATAGCTTTAAATCAATCGAGTTTTCTCCTCACTCAGCTGTACTAGCGAGATGATTTCAGACGGCAGTCAGTACGAATGAATAGGTTTGAGATAGTTGCTCGATTTCATTCCAAGTAGACGAAAAATAATTGCTTATTTCTGTTCGAGGCGATGTACTCCAGAGAAAATATGATGAATAACCATTATACAGAATATACACTGACTTCAACCACACACTAGTATTCGTCACTCAGAAATACATGCAATTCCATTAGTTCATTCAAAGTTGCTATTGTCCAATAAGATAGCCATCTGCTGTGTCATGTGTCTTTTTTTCTGTTCTGTTTTGGTAAAGCATTTATACTTTCATTTTGAATAGATACCTGGTCATGTGAGTGTTTTGTTTAGCTATTCAGTAGATGTGCGTCTTTTTTCTCTTATTATAGACACCCTAGAAAGGTTTCATCTTGTTATCTAAGTTATGTGTTGACGAACCGTCAGGAATAGCTTAAAATTTCTTCAGATTTTAGTTCCATTTATTTTGAATAATATATTGTGCCACTTTTATTTTACTTTTGTTGAACTCTTATTTGTTTTCCTCTAAAATAGAACTGAGGTAAACAGTAAGACAGGACATTGAGTTGACATTTTCATTTCAAGAAATTTAAAATGATCTTTCGTATTTTTGTTCTATTATTTTTTCGTTTTATATACGTTCCTGGGATCTCAGTACGCTTTCATTCTTTCCAATGACGTAAGCTGAGTGACGATATCATTTCTTTTTTTTTTCAAAATGACTAGAGTTTGAAACAATAGACTATGTGTCTTCATATTCTTTTGTCATTAAGAACTATTTCCTTCTATTCAATTATTTATTGTTGGTGTTAATTTTTAGATCTTTTCTACGAGTGATAAGTTAATGGAGATCAATGGCAAGATTATTATATCGGGAATTATTATATTTGTCCTTCTCTTAACTTCTACAATAACTTTGAGTGTTTTATATGGCAAAGAACGACAACAGACGAAACAAACTGACAAAAGTATTAAAAGGAATATAGAAAATTTGAATAATGTGGCTTAGTTTTTATCTAAAAATTCATTTTCTTCTCATTCAATTGATACATTAACACCATCAAAGTAATAAGCACCAAAAGAACACTTGACAGATAAAAAAATATTAAGAAAATGTTGTTATAAAGAAGATACATGTAGATCAATGAAATCAGTGACGCAACCAGAATTTGGCGTGATGCGTAGCAGTAAACATTTATTGTACATTAGTCTTCAACGTATTTCATGAGATGTTTTTTTCATTGAAGGAATGACCGTCCTGGTTACCAAAAATAAAAGACTATTCTGAACAACACATAAAACTAGAATTTGAAAACTTATATGCATATCTATGCTAGAGAAATAAGTCGTGAATATGTATTTTATAGAAATCGACTCGGAGTTCATAGTACGTTAAGTGCCTGAACGATTTATTGAATACCAATTTGCAATGATTTTTTTCATTGTAGAAAAAGACTGAATAGCATAAGACGGATTCAAATTTCATACCAAAACTGTCAGAATTAGCTACGCATAATAACAAAAAGAACCAATGAACTTTACTAGAGAAATTGGAGAAGTTTCAAACAAATGACATTAGTCTTGGTTATTTCATTCTATTTCATATGTATCTAGCTTTGATCATATGCAGCTTTATCTCTGATTAACATCTAAATTTCTGGCGTAACTTAGTATATGGAATCACCATTTGTGACTTTTATTCCTCAATGTATTAGTGTGAAAAATTTTCCTCCCACTACTGAATTATCGATTTACAGTTTCGGCTATCGTTTTCACCATGTTTTTTTTGTATTAGTCTTGTAGATTTGCGTGATACTTCACGTTAATTGATTTATATAAATGAATATTTAGTTATTAGAAGTATTTTTCTTTGATTTCTTTCTAAGTAAAGGTACATGGACATCCATAATAAATCCAATGACATATTCTCAATCAGCAGTAGAACGATTACTCAGCGAAGGTGGTTATGTCCTGATAAGTGCAGGACGCAATAATAAGATGCCAAGTGATCACAATTTGAGTGATGCAACCATTCAAGAACGAACTGTTAATTTGACCATTGATTTAACTAATTTATATGCTTATTCATCTATGATGGGTGTCTATAATGGCGATAATGAAACAAGTTTCTTCGTTATTCTACACAATGTTTCACCGGATATGGAACGTGCCATATTCATTCAATTGGGTCACAAGTATAATCAAGAGTCTATCATTTATGTTAAAAGAGCTACTCCCACAATACAGCAGTTCATCTATACAACAGGTGAATTCAGTGGAAAATATGTCGAAGGACAAGGATATAAAGTACTTACTACTAATGTAACCGACGATTACAGTGAATTAAAACTATGCCCGGATAGCATATTTATATTTACGTTGAATTTTGATTTTGAAATTATGATTATGGGAAAAATTCGAAAAAAAACACGTCAATTAATTGATCACCATACCAATTATATATTGGCCAATCAACAAAGACAAAAGTTTTGAACATGCTTTTCGTTGACACATGAACTATATCGTTTCTTTTTTTTTATGGAAATCATCGAAATATTTTGGGTTCATCGTTCTTTGCTCGAAAGATAGCATATTTGATTTATCTATTGGAATCTTTACTTTTCAACAACAAGAAGAGTATCATATCAATATATAGTGATTTTTCAGCACTAGACATATAGAGTGCGATGTATGAGTAGGTTGTAAATGTGGATGTAGGTCGATGCTCTTCCTTTCTAATATATTCGAAACAGGACTGGTCAAGAGCAGAAAAAGAACAAGTGGAGCTGAAGAACCAATATGCATCGATTTTGTTGATTATACAGATTGAAACGGTTTTATCGCACTTATACTAGTCCAGTCATTCTGCAATAGCGTTTTTTCTCACCTTTTCTCGAGCAAGAAAAGTTATATTTAGAAATGGGACATAAATTGTCATTTCTCCATGAAACATTTGATGCAGTAAAGGATGATGCAATCATATAGAATGAATAAAATGGGAAGCAGAATTCGTGTTGATAAATGATAATTTGCTTTGAAGCAAAAAAGATAGGAATGCGTGGAAGGAGAACGTCAATACTTGAAACAATGCAAACAATATTTTTAATTTTTCTTTATTTCGCCCAGTTGTTTATTTCCTTATGTACACTAGCCACATACCAATTATGATAAATAGACAGAACGATCATGCACGGTTGCTTCGAGTCTTTAAAATATATTGATGATGTCTTTATATTTATTTTTCGACGATCTAACAAGACAAGTAACGAAAACATGTCGAAATTTTAACGAAAAAAAATTTGTAAAAATGTATGTTTTGTACGATTTCAATTTCGTTCAAGATATTTAACGCATTTGGTTTTTGGATTGAAAATATTTCTAAGGTATTTAAAGTATCAGAGAATTTTCATTAACAAAACAGTCAGAATAGAATGCTAGTTAAATGAAATGTGTCTACGAAATGTTTATTCTCAATCAGTCCTTATTCAAATTATGAACTGATTTCATCAACATCCGACAACACTCATGAATTAAGGTTACAACTCAAGGATTTTAAAGTCTACAATCGTAATCTTTTGTTGAGTAATGATCAAGCTTAGAATTGAACCTCTTTTTTTGAAAAGAAAAGGACAGATTGCATTTTAATGCAACAGACTTATTTTCGTTGTCTTAAAATAGAAGAAAATATTTTTCTTTTGCATATTCGATTCAGTCTTGATCGGAGACAATTGATATTGGGCTAACTTGATTACATGTGCTACCAAATCATTATGTCTGTTTCCACAATGATTTTTCCAAAATATTCTCACCAAAGTATGTCTAACTTGACTGCAAAATCGTCGCGATATTAATAGGAACAAATAAAATGATTCCTGAAATTAATCGACCGTTGGATTAGCATACTGTTGACAAGATAGTTACTTACAGCATAATTCAGATAAAACAAAGAACTAGTGATAGCTGAACTGAGTCGATCGATGGCTGACACAAGCAAGTTTTCCGTGGTTTGTGGTACATTGATTGCCTAGAGCAAATAAATACCGTAAGGAATGGATACTGAAATGAGAAATACAACATGAGTGAGAACGATGGCTGTCAATTGTCGATCAAGCCGTCGTCGGATAATAGGCACTTGACGTCGTATAATGTAACACACATTGCGATAAGCATGCACAATGAATATCGAGGACACCAGCAGTGGCAATATACTGTTAAGGAACGATAGATAAACGACGGAAAAGTATAATTGAAAAGCTTTGTTCGAAATATCACAACCCGTCGATGGAAGTATTTCGTAGAATATGGCAAATGGAATACTGTGCAGAAGTCAAAGAACAGCGTTGATAAATGTGAGACGTTGAGCTAATTTCAGTGTACTCAGTTGACAAGCGAAAATTTATGAACGGTCGCTAGATATTGATCGATGGCTCCGAAATAAATCCTCGTCAAAGAAGTCAATACGCATATTTGAAGCAGTGCTGATCGAAGTTTGCACATGATAGATGATTGAGTCGTCAGAACGACATTGAACCCATACAAAAGAATACGTGCTATGAAAACATTCAGTAATACGCCACAATTCGTGACGAATTCCACCACCAGATAGAAAGCAGATTGGTTGCCGCGGAATACTTTCAAAAATACGAAGATGATAATATTGAATATATTGCCTATAAATCCACCAATGAGACAGATATAACTAGCATATAGTATCAATTTTCGAACAGTGCATACAATTGTTTGAGATACGAATAAAATCGACTGATCCATAGTGAACAGAGACTCCGCTTTTCACACCGTCTCGCAGTATGATAATGCTTCATTTCGCTGATATTCTTCGGATGTGCACGTTAGACGTCAAGGATTCTTCTCAATTACGTGCTCAGCATAGTGGAATCAATCAGGACATAATTCATTTAAGCATAGATTTTTATGTAACGGATTTCTTATGTGTACATGCCATGACTAATTAGGCAGCGCTAGACTGTCATGTTAGATATTTATATGCAAGAATGAATTTTCACTATCACTTCATGATATTTTTTGCATGATGCTGTCTCTAAAACTCATTTTTCTTAGAGTTGGCCTTTTACTGTATCGTTCTGAACAGAAAGAATATATGTGAGTTGCTCGAAACATGTTTCAAAATTAAAAAAACAAATTTCTAAACGATCTTCATTGTTTTATTTGAGTGTATAAATAGAAAATACTTGTGAAAACTGTATGTTTTCTTAAGATTGATGAAAGTCTTCTGATATTCTTTTTCTTCATGTATGACAAAAGCAGCATTGTACCATTTTATTGATAGGGTCCTATGATAAACAGCGTCATGGATTATTGAAATTTTCTTAATGTTGTTGATTCTGAAAAGAGCATTGTCAATGGGGGCCTGCAAATCGACTTTTAAAAATTAACATGCTACAATTATCAATTGCTAACAAGTAAAAGAAACTGTCCTATTGAAAGTCCTATAAAAACAACATACAGCCAACTGCCGCTGAAAAGTATTTGATTCATATCCTAATTCAAACCGCTGAGGTCTGATGAATTGAAAACTGGCATCAAAAATATTTATTTTATTTTTATGTAAAACATGTAATATTCACACGAAGCCGTATCCTACGAATGGGTTCGGCTTAATGTCAACATACATATGCGTGATATTTTAGTCATATTTTCCTCTAAAACATTCATTTGCATTTGCATGAAACGTTATCAAGATTAAACGAAATTTATTTATAGAAATATGAGATGTGAGCTATTGGCTTTTTCTTAATAGTGAGTTTGTTGCTTGGAATTGTGTTTTTTTCCTGAAAACATTCTTGAATAGAAAAAAAAAAACTTTTGGACTTTTCTACGACGTTGTAACAGTCTAAGAAGTATTTGAAATAGCTAAAACTCTATACTATCTAGCGAGAGTATGAAGTGTACTATTAATATAGATACTTTTCGGATATATTGCTTTATTTTATAAAGTTACTTTTCACATTAAAAAAAATTCTTCAAGTTTCAAAGAATCTTCAATTAATGGAATTAATATTCTTGAATAGTTGCTGTATCTGTTGGCAAAAAGAAGCACTGTTAGAAAGTCCCACAAGTGTCGAAGAATTCATCTTCATAGTTACAGATGTGACATTGTTGTTTCTTTTTTACTCCAGAAAAATCGATTGTCCAAGTATTCATATACATGGTCACTAAAGTGTGCTGTCGTAGCTAAGCTACTAGTAACTATATCATACATTCTTCAGCAGGATATGATCAAAATTATTACTTTTAAATATCAATGTTATTTCATCAATATCCTATTCTCAACTATGATTTCTTTGACAGTCATAACTGTCCAAATTAGTCATAATTGATTCCACACAAAGATTCCACACAAAACTTTCATGTGATTATGAAATTACATTAGTTATCAAGGGATATATTAACGATATCAATTAGTGCTTCTCAAATGATTTTTCTTTTGTTTTCTTGGTGATTCAGAATCGTATCAATGGTTACAGATCTGTTATTGTGCTTCTTCTGGTTCTATAGCTTATTTCTTCGTTTATGATTCACGTATTTTCTTTTGTTTCGGTTTTGATTAATATTGGCTCTAGCTCCCAATACCTTTTATGTCCATATTAATACTCATCGATAAAATACTTATTTTAAGTTGTTCAATACTGGTCGCCTATGGATCAAATCAACAGTCACGGGAAGAACAGAAACAATACGTACTACTCAAATGAGTAAATGTCGAAGCAACTATACGATCTTTTACTGCCAATGTGACTATCAAAGAAATTTTTCGCAACTATGAGACACAACCCATCGAAGCTATTTATTGTTTTCCAATCCACGAACAAGCAGCTATCTATACATTTACTTCTTGGGTTGATGATCGAGAAATTGACGCTGAATTGGAAGAAAAAAAGGCACAACAAAAATATAATGATTCTCTTCGTCAAGGCCACGGTGCCTATTTACTCGAACAGAATGAAAAATCACAAGATAATTGTATGATAAACGTGGGTGCACTACCACAAGGCAAAGAATGTCATATTTCAATCTTGTACGTCTCTGAACTAGATTTTGTACAAAATGGTCGCAAACTTCGTTTTGTTGTTCCGACCATCATTGCTTCTCGTTATAACATGGACAAAGGCGACGTCAGTTCATCGGCTGCCACCACATCCAAATACGTTCAGTGAACTCCGTACACAATCAAATTTCGTTGTCAAGTGAAGAAAGTTGGAGTTGAAGGGGTCCGATTCAATTTGATGATCAGTCAGCTTGATGCGTATGTCATTGAATTCGCTCAAGAAAATACTCATTTAGATAGAGATATTCTTTTCGATATTGATTTGATTGAAAATCGATCGAATATTATACTTGCTATTGAAACTGGAGCTGTTATGGCTTCTTTGATGCCAACAGATGAAGATTACTGACGTGCGATAAGCAGCATTGCCTTTACTAATGAACTCATTTTTGTCGTCGATTGTAGT